TTTCTTCCAAGTGCCACAGCTTTTTCCGCAACTGAAAATGGAGGAGTGGCTGTTTTTTTAAACAGCCCGTTGATAATCTGCAGTTGTGCACACCTTAGCAGGACTTAAAGCGGGAATAATCAGTTTTCCCAGGCAGCATCTTATAAAGTCGCCAGGAAGTCTCTCCAAACTAGTTGAGCTCCTGGTGGCTTTAGATCCCCCGCTATTAGAAGAGAAGCAGTTTTGTTCTTTATTAGAAAAAAGATGTTGAGGCTGCAAAGAATGCAGGAAAGAGCAGCAAAGAAGATTAGGGGGCTGGAGGTTAAAACTTATTTAAGTTGCAGGAATTGAATATTTCTAGTCTAGTGAAAAGAAGGACCAGGGGAGACAGGATAGCAATCTTCCAATATTTGAGGGGCTGCCCCAGAGAGGAGGGGGTTAAGCTGTTTCCAAGGCCAGACAAGGAATAACGGATGGAAACTGACCAAGGAGAGATTTAACCCAGAAATGAGGAATTTCCTGACTGTGAGAACAATCAACCCATGGGACAGAAGTTGCCTTCGGAAGTTGTGGGAGCTTCATCCCTGGAAGCTTTCAAGAGTAGATTGGACTGCCATCTGTCAGAAATGGTGTAGGGTCTCCTCCTTGGGGGGGTGGGGGTTGGACTAGATGACCTACAAGGTCCTTTCCAACTTTGTTAATCTGTTAAAGTAGCAATTGATCAAGGAGAGAAGCAATCTAGAACTAAGGAGAAATTTCCTGACAGTGAGAACAATTAATCAGAATAAATTGTGGGTGCTCCATCCCTGGAGGTTTTCAAGAAGAGACCGGACAGCCATTTGTCTGCTCTTGTATAGGGTCTCCTACTTGAGCAGGGGGCTGGACTAGAAGACCTCCAAGATCCCTTCCAACTCTGTTATTCTATAAGTGTCTCCTGCTTGAGCGGGGATGGACTAGAAAGCCTCCAAGGTCCATTCCAACTGTGTTATTGTGTTATTTTTTGGGGGGTGTTATTATTTCAATTGTTATTTGAGCCCACAGCTTTAGGATTCCCAGGTGGTCTCCCATCCCGTCTAAGCCCTAAATAAATTGGATCCTTCTTTGCTTCCAACACCTTCCAGGCTCTGCTCCCTGCTGAGATTCACAAGGGTTGCAGCCTCTGAGTAACTATCCCCTGAGAAGGCTTGGTTCTCTCATCCGTTTCGCAATTGCATTTTAATCAGGGAACAGGATCTAGTCAGTTTCACAACATCGAGTTGTGTGGTTGGGAACTCCAGGGCTACGTTGTTGCCCCACATTTCTGCAAGGGGCCACCCCATTCCTCCAGCTGTGACCCTTCAAGGCAAATGAGGATCTCATCCTGCAAATACATCGATAGTAACCTAGAGCGCTGATTGGCCCATAAAATCTGGTCTAAAAGCCGTCACGGAAATGGGCAGATTCTTAAAAGTAGCATCAGAACAAGCTGGAACAAGCCCTGCTGTGTTTCGAGGGTGTGTGAGGCCTGCACGGATCCATCACCTGTTGAGGGAGGTTGGTCAGCTCTGGGCATCCACCTCTTCTTTAGCAAAGCTAACAGGTGAGGTCCTCAAAGTTGGCAACTTTTAAGACTTGTGGACTTCAAGCCCCAGAATTCTCCAGTTAAAAGTCCACAAGTCTTAAAGTTGCCAAGTTTGAAGACCTCTGATAAACCTTTTCAACCTCTTACCTTTTCAAACAGGTAAGCACCAATGGCTTAGATCTAAAGTTTTCTAGCCATCCCCTTACTGGGATTCGAACCTGGGCTGTTTTTACGTTAGGCAGTTGTATTCGCCTCTAAGCCACAAGCTCTCCTCCCTTATCAGTTGAGCCAAGGAAATAATTTGGGCATGCCAGGTACTTTGACATAACACTTACATATACATACATATACATACATACATACATACCTATATACATACATACCTATATATACACACACCTTAATTTAATATATGGTCTTATCTTAATAAATGGTTTTAATTTAATATTTTATCCTATATTGTATTGTCCACTAGATAGATGATAGATAGACAGATAGAATGATAGATGACAGAAGAGAGTAGATAAGATAGACGATAGGGATAGGAGGTAGATGATTGGTAGAAGATTGATTGATAGATAGAAGGTAGAAGATACATGATTGATAGAAGATAGATGACAGAAGATAGTAGATAAAATAGAAGATAGAGCTAGAAGTTAGATAATTGATAGAAGATAGTTTGATAGATAGAAGATAAATGATAGAAGGTAGATGATAGAAGATAGAAGGTAGATGATAGAACGAAAGATAGAAAGAAAGATAAAAAGGTAAACAGACATATTAATCTAAGATAAAATCATAATAAATTCACCATAACACGGAGCCATAGAATTACAATGAGTTTTCCCAGCACAACTACTGTAGTTCACAAGAAAAACTCAGAACAGCTGCACAGGTTTTGTGCAAAACTTTTCTGTTAACATATTGTAATTTTAATATCATCATGAGCGGAGCAATTAAATAACCGGGGAATAATTTATCTCCCATGTTTAACTAATTTAATGTATGGGATTGCTGATTAAACGTAAATCAAGTTCAGAATTTGTCCAGGTTTACATTTTCTCACCTTTGCCTCTGTCTCCCCAGAATATGCCAGTAAGCATTTGGGGAAAACCATTTTGCAACCCTGGGCTAAAAGGGTTTGCTTGTTCAGCAAGCTGTGCCAGCTCAGCCACTGTGGTTCCTGGCTGCAGCTTTAAAAGAAACTGCAATTAAATAAACCATGGATTAGTGCCATGTGGGAAACCATGTGTAGGGTTAAAACTGGCTGCAATATACAAAATATCATTATTAAATACTGTAAATAAACAGCACTAAAATACTGTAAATAAATAGCGTTAAAATACTGTAAATGCTGCAAGAATTCTCCTTCCAGGCCTGCTGAGGGGTGATTAAAGATGCCAGTTATGTAATTTAACATCTGCATTTACTTAAAAACCAAGCATGAAATTATAGCGAGGCAATTAAGAGGATTTAGGATGGAAACTCAAAGCTGCATCTCTCTCTCTCTCTCTCTCTC